CGACCCATGAATTAAGTAGAATAACAACAAAGGATTCTACTGTAGTGTTCCTTGTGAGGGTGGAAAGGATACCCACGACACAGTACTTGTGAGCAACAATCCTTACAGTGGTGCAAGAGTCCGTCCATTGAGGAAGCTATAATCCGGGTAGTCTGAGATAAATCGATGAATAGAATCCATACTTGATGGGCGAAAAGGAACAATGTCCATTCTTGATGAGCAAAAAGCAAAAATGTTAGGTGAATGATATATGCTTCTTTAGTGTCCTGACATGGTAAATGCATAAGGGAATTAGTACTCCATTTGTACAGATGATCAGCTGTTAGGGCTTTATCTTACACGACCAGCTTAGCAAAATCAAGAGTTCTTGTGGGCCTTTATGGATGTTATATTTTGTTCTGGTCTCTGTAGCATCAAATGTAGTATTACCTCCCCACTATTATGTGTCGACACTCACCGGCATAGGTAGATATGCCATCTATATATGTCTGCTCTGTTGAGATGTCACATGGTGTCAAAATGGTTTGTCATGATTGTTGGCATGTGACATACCCGTTCATATTTGGTTAAATTTTAAAGAATTAAACTGCCCCACTATGGGATTTGGACATGGAACCTCTTGCATTATGACCAGTAGCTTTACCACCCCACTTACCCAGCACGTTTGTGACACATGGAGCCAACGTTTTTTATTAATAATGTTGAGTAAAAAATCTTTTTAGGAAATAAATGAGGAAACTACAAAGAATTTTTAAAATTTTATTTTCCATAAAATAACATTAAATACATGTTTAACTATCTTGTGTTTCTTTATAGGGTGCTGTTTGTATAGACCCGAGGCTCTAAACAATCAAAGTATAGCACGCCTTCAAATAATGTCGAGAAATGTAGTTTCAGTACTGTAAATCTTTGTGAAATATATTTTCATCACTAATTATAAATTTTAAAGCTTAAAAAATAGTGTAGATCGAGCAGATCTATGGAAACTTAAAAACTGACGGTCCAAAAATGCGTTTCAACATGCACTATTTCCAAAAACTTGAAATTTATTTTTTTGTCATGTCCATGCATCTTGATGTCGAGATGATCAATTAGAGGATATTTAGGCATCAAAACAACCTCTTCTAGTGAAAATTTTGAGGTGGGCTTTAATTTGATTGTTTAGAGCTCTATATACACTTTTTCCTCTTTTTATCAGTAGAAACTTCTATGTAATTTATATTTAGGTGATTTTTATGTAACTTGTTGTATGGAAGTCTTGGCTGGTATTGGGCTTTCAGACACTCTGAGTCACATACCAGATGCCCAAATCCATACCGGTGTGTGTGTTACAACGACCAATTCTCCTAACCTCACTGATGAGGCCTTCTTGTTGTCATGTTCCCAGATAATTCTGCTATGATTCTCACCAGTAAGTATGAAGGGATTATCCTTACAATTAAAACAGCCATATCAAACAAATTTTATATTAAGTACCAGCAGCTGTAGGGAAACTTAGGACGGAAGTCAGTCTCTGAGATTACATCAAATCAACATATCCGATGATCTTGTATATATTTCTGATTGAGATCATTGTGCACCTCACTACAAAATGGCATTAGAAAACAGAAGGTGGGAATTTGTGGAGCCCCCATGGGAGGTCCAAAAGCCATCAAAGAGCCTAATATTCTGACGATAAAATGAGCTATCAACATGACATGTAGAATCCCACTGTTCTTATGAATAATTATGTTTTTTTGGGCTACTAGATTTACCTCATCCGGTTAACACGTTCCAACAGTAAAAGAAAAGAAAAGATTTACCTCATCTGATTATCTACAACCACCTGTTGATCCTTTTGTTTTTTCTCTAGTTTCTTACTCCTTTTAAACGACTCTTGCAACCAACATAGCCTACTGAGTATTCCTCCTCTTTCTCACTGGTAAACAACTTCCTGAAAGTTGACTTTTGAGAGCATCATAATTCGAAAAAAAAAACATCTTGAGAAGCATTGGGAGACTCTATCTTTCAAAAAGGAAACAACACTTCAAATCCCAATGAGGGGTTGCTATACTCTAGGGGTCTCTCTTGTCTCTCTATAGGAGGTCCCACCTCCTGAGGCGTGCTACTTTCCTTTCATCTTATTTATGGAGGAAGATAGTATTGTCCCCTTCTTTAGTGAATTAACCCTGGATCTCAGTCTCCAATAGAAGATGGTATTGTTCCCTTCTTTAGTGAATTAACCCTGGATCTTAGTCTCCATAACATTTCCTCCTGCCCCAATATGTCTTCATAATATTCCATTTTCTTTTATTTTTGAAAGAAGGCTCACTGTTCTATAGTGAAACTAAAAATAAGGGTTACAAAAGGAGTATAGGTCGCCCATGTACCAGGTGCATTGTACAGCTTGCAAAAAATAGTGTTATCTCGGTACTATACAAAAAGAAGGATTGTCTGTACACTGCATGGGCCACAAATGATAACCCAGCTGGCCCACAAAGCAAGAAAGGTGCAGCAGCAAGCAAAAGACACACAGCCTACCCTTAGTACAAAGTAGGCATTGGTATGTCCTGACTTAGCACCTGCTTTGGCAAGGGCATCTGCAAGATGGTTTGCCTCCCTCCATATATGGTGATATGAGATCTGTATAGGCCTACAAAGATCGAAGTACTCATCAAACCCCAGTTGCTGACGCCACAGGCAAGGAGAGGTCCGAGCAGTCCAGGGGCGTAAATTCTTTTAGTAGCCCTCAACAATAAGTGTTTCAGACCGAACCAGGCTAAAGCGCTTCATCCCTTTTGACAGTGCAAAAGCCTCAGCAGTTGTAGAAACTTTTACCCCAAAGGATCCTGAGTAGGAGAGAATTGTGTGGCCATTATGATCCCAGAAGAGACTACCACAGCCAGCAGGGCTGGGGTTGCCGAGCGATCACCCATCGAATTTGAGCCTGACGCTACCAAGCTCCTCGCAATATTTTTGTACTCAACTCTTCTGAATTTATCTTGTCTATACATTCCTTTCTTCTTATACTCTATCTAGGGAAACAAGCTCATATGGGTATTGGACTTCCTCTCGTTGAGGATTCCAAAAGTGGCCTGCTCCATCCTTTAATTTCAATCTTGACAATCATTTGTAGCTTTTCCCCATCTTGAAGTCCACCAACCTTGAAGTTCATAACCTTCGAGCTTGGTCTGTTCTTCTAGAGGCTTGAGAGTTCAAGCTAAGCATGTAACTTTTGCTGTATTAACACCAATTCCTGTGAAATCTCCATAATGATGATGTGCATGGTTGTAGTGAAGTCATGTGCCCAATATGAGGGCAATTTTCATATTTATGGACAATGTTAGGATCAGCCGTGTAATGTCATGGTCTAATTATCATTGAAAAACTACTCATTTTAGCTGCAAGAATTTCGTATTCCACAGGAATAAGTCTTGTTTGACTTTGTTTGTTATTGCCATATTGCAAAATCTACTACAGCTTTTTGAAGAACTTGGATAACTCAATGTTGATTTTTTTCTCAGTCATAACAGTAGTAAGTTTCAAAGGGATCAGTATTGCATTGTTGTAAATCTCATGGAATGATGTCATGTTTTTTCAGCATGACATGAGTATCTTTATTTTATTAGTGTGTATACTATGCTCCCACAGGAGCAAATTGTCTATTTATTCCCTTAGGCAAATGACCTACTTGAAGGATTCTTGATCTGAAATTCTGGGGTCCACTTTAAAAAGGAATGGATTATCTGTGACTGTCTAAAATTGGGTAGTCTGCGTGCAATCCTAGGGTGTGATTTTTTTCATGCAGTTCCAAATTATGTATTATTTTCTCTTTTGGGTTGTTTGCTTTGAGTAGGTCACATTCCCAAAATATGTTGTTCTAAAAATACTCCTAACTAGTAGGGTTTTGCCTGAGCATGGAAATGTACATTGCTCCCACAAGATCATATGACTTTCAGTTTTTTTATTCATATTTTCCAACATCTAGCAATCAGCATACATTAAACTAATTCCTAGAAAAGGAAAGCTGTTATAGGATTTGTGTGGCGGACCCCAATGCTTTTCAATGCAACTAGCTTACAAATATGCCACCTGGAATGGCATGTGGAAATGATTTTATTTACTGTTGTACTTCAGTAATAACCTCGCTTGTGCCTGGGCATGCGCACACGCATGCACGCTTTCACGTGCACCTAGAAAAGGAGATGCCATTTTTGACTTGACTCTGAACCCATTAAAGGGAATACAGAGAACTGTTTAAATCACAATTGTCCAAAATTATCTTGTAACATGAGGGCCGTACTCTCTCCTCCTCTAGGGCCACAGGGAAGACCGACTCCACCACAGCTGAGACTTTAATCCTCCTACAGAGTGTCAGGAATCTGGACCCCAATTGGGGCACTTTCTTACTAATATAGGGAGACTCCATGAACGTCATATCTTGGGCCTCGGGCCTAGCACCTTCACCTTGGAGATTGGTCCACTGTTTCGATGAGATCGAACATAAAATCAGGCATTCAGAATCCCATGGAAACATGTCTTACGTGAGTCAAATTCTGCTGCAAATGCCTTAGCCAGAGAATGGGTGAACTCCAGTCAGACAATGACCCCCCCTCCCACCCCTCTCTTAACCCAGACGTGCCATTTTTTGAGAGCATGATTGCTGTATAGACGGGCAATTTTTTGTGTAGCACTATTGTGGCAATGCTTTGTTTTTATGTTCCTACTGTATAGTGCCCATTTCTTGGGCCATCACTCCTTAAGGGGACCAGTTTTTGTACTCACAGACCCATTAATACAAGTTAACATTTTTAAAAAAACCATGTTCGGGTTATTGCACGAGTTTATATGGACGTGTAATAAAAAGGAAATCACCATAATAATGCACCCACATACTTTATTTCATTGTTTAAATCAGCTACGTGATTTTGAGATAAATTCTCTTTTTGAAGATACTTTTGAGATAAATTTAGTTGATGAGTCCACTCGCTCTGAATGTGTTTGGTTTTGTCGGTATGCAGGGATTGAATTATATGCAGTTGCATGCGGCAGGTGCAACCATGGATCCCTCTCGCCTCCAGCAGGTAAACAATTTTCTTTAGTGTGTGACCTTGGATTTGTGGTTTGGCTTCTAATCTGCTTTTGGAATAAGTGGTCTCTTTTGACTAAAACAATTGCAGGGCCTGCAAACTGCACAGGATTTGGTGTGGAAAAGCAAACCAGCAGGTTCAATTTTTACCATCCAATCTTCTGTTTTCATCGAAAACTTATCCTAATCTCCTCTCTCTCTCTTCTCTCTCTCTCTCTCTCTCTCTCTTTCTTTTCAAATACTCTGCCTGAAGCAATTTGCTAATTTCTCTCCCTCCCCTCCCTCTCACTCTCTCAACCTTTTTGCAATATCTTCTCTCGCAGCCTTTGTTAATAAAGTGCGTATGATTTTTCAACTTCTGCCTCTACAGGTAACTGAGAATCCAGACGCACAAGCACCATATTTGCTGAAGTTGGGAGGAGCAAAAGAGGGGAATAGTGTCATCGGGTTGAGGAAATATTTAGGAAATTGTAAAACGCTTATCTGCGTTGGCCCAATAACAGTCTAGGGTTTTATTGCCTCTCCTCTTGCTTTCTTCTTTCCCATGTTTTTCTAGTGTTACATAACAAAACACTGGAAGTTTTCCCTGTGAATGATCCCTATGTAACAGTAGACATTGACCGTTTAGGGTTAGTGTGCTTGAATCCATACATTCTCTTTTGGAGTTAAACAATTTAGGGTTTTAATGATATATTACCCCATTTGGGTTTCAGTATCGAACTAGGGGTTTTGAATGGGATTATACCTACACTCGACTCTGACATGTTCCGGTGGACCGGACCCAATTTGTATGAAGTTGGGTTGACCTCGACCCGGACCTGACCCAACCCGGATAGTTCCGGGTTGGACCTGGACCTGGACCTACCAGATGTGATCAATGGGCAAGTCAAATTGACCGCCTTGCTTAATCACCCTACCCTAATATTGAAACCTCTAGCTGCAGATATTGTTTCCTTGAACCTTAGTGCTATTCTTGTATTGTTATTAGTCAAGTAAGGGGACACTTAAAAGGTCTTCTTTATCGGGTTTATTACACCAATGTAGGAACCCTTGCGCTGAAGCCACATTCAACCTATTAAACTAGGTAACTAGATATGTTTTGATAAAATAAAAGACAAATAAGCAGAGATGGGGGAATACATCTCATGGGGGTCTAATTTGATGCCTGAAAATTCTAGTCATTCCATTAATGTGTTCTGCAAAGTTAGACCCACGAAACCTTTAGCAAGGTTTGTGCCATCCTTGGGGAAGGCATCTGCCTTTGAATTAGTTGAGTGAGTTTCACCTGTGTAGGGTTAATAGTGTCTTGAATTTCATTGAACTAAAAATTTCTTCCATGTTGCTGGCTTATTAGAATACAGTTAAGATTGTACCAAACCAGTAGTCCGATTGGTAGGGACACCGACCGGTTCTTGGCCAGTAAGGCTCAAGGTAAAAGCTAAGTTTGGACGAAAATAAGTTAAACTCAATGATTGAGGGGTTTTGGTTAGTTAGATTTGTTAGTTTTAGTTTGTTTGACCATTTAAGTAAAATTAGGCAAAATTTTTAATATAAAAATTTAGACTATCACATCTACTTGTTTTTAATGTTTATTTTTTTTATTTTTAAGAATCAGGTTCAACATATTTGATCCTGAGTTGATTTGGTTTTGATTTGACCAAACCTTTTGTTAATTGGTCAGTTTTAACCAGGTAATACTGTATAACTTGATTCCCTAAACACTGTAAACGGGCATTAGAATTTCTTGACAACACGAAGTCCTTCGAGCAGGGACGTAGCCCCCACCTCATTTACCATCAAGGGGAATTTTTCTCGCGTCATGATTCCTTAGTGTCTCCAGCACTGGTTTAGCGAGGATGTAGTTGGTTCCTATGGATGGAGAAACTCCAAGTCGCACACTTTTTTTTGTATGTTTCCCAAGACGTGTTGAACAGAACTGTTACCCTCGTTACTCCTTGAGGGGTATGACCACAGCCATTGGTTACGCCCAAGTTAGTTCCAAAATTGTGACCGCAACAGAACTGTGTATCCTCGAAACTGCGTGTGGGACTACCCATTGTAAGCCAAAAAGCGCCGCGCCCTAGTGTAGGCCCAAATTTGCATAAAAACTGGACAGTGAAGTAGCAAATGACGAATAGATTCGCTGCTCCTTATACACATTAGGTAGATGCTAGGCAAGGGGAGCCCTCTTCTTTGGAGGTAGTTCAAGGTAAGGACTTTCTTGACTTAGGGTGGCAATGGGTTGGGTGGCCCGGCCCTGAAAAATTAAGGCTTGGGCCACGAAATATTGTTCAAGAGCTGGGCCAGGGCTGAGTGACTACGACTTGAGGGTAGGGCCAGGCGGTGTCTGCGTCAGGGCTGGCCTGGTTAGGCTTGGCCCGACTCTCTTTTTCTTTGTTGTTTTTTTTTTTTTTTGATGTTTTCAATTTTGTTAGGTTGGGAGAGTGCTAGGGCTGGGCTTGGGCCAGCCCTATGGGACTAGGACTAGGTAGGGCTAGGGGAGCGCCTGGCCATTGCCCCCCCTACTGGCGACAATGGCCAACCATGCAAATGCATTCATTTTGTGAAAATTGGGGCTAATTTGGACGTGGATTGGATGGGCGCTGCAAGAACGTTGCATAACCTATCATTGCAAACCAATATGCAAGGGACATGGTTACCATGCAGCCTTGCCTGCATGCCCAAAAGGGTTACCAACTATCCAATTTATCTGGACGGTGGTGATTGAAAGATAAGTCTTTCAATCACCACCATGCAACTAAGTTCGACGGTGGTAGTCTTAATTGGATGGGCGTTACAAGAAAGTTGCAGAAGCTACCATTGCAAACCAATATGTAGGGGCTATGGTTACTATGCAAGCATGCCTGCATGCTCAAAAGAGCTAGTAGCTGTCCACCGTGGTTGGATGGTGGGGATTAAAAGATAGTCTTTCAATCACTACCGTCCAACTAAGATCGACAGTGGGTGGCTCAAGTTTATTATTTATATGCAGGCATGCCTGCATATAAACTTCTTCCAAATGTAAGTGAAGATATAGAGAAAAGAATATTGGATTTAGGCTCTTATAGGAATGTAAGTAAAGATATAGAGAAGACACTATTGGATTTAGGCTCCCATATTGTGGAATCGACAATAATAAAAACCGTACAGTTTAGTAAGTTCAACTACGACCCAATCTCTCTTTTTTTTTTTTTTTAAAACATTTAATGGTAACTTTTCATTGATGGGATGAAAAATTACAAAGAAAAGTAACAAAGAAAGAAAATGAAAAAAGAAAAGAAGAAAAGAAAGTATTGCTCCTCTGGCAATAACGTTAGCACTCACGTTCCTTTCCCTGCGAACATGAATAAAGGAGACCTCCTTCCCGTATAGGATTCTGTCATTACGATCCCCAATATGGGTCCATTGCCAAGGGGTAGATGTAGGGTTCTTGCACCAGTTGATGACATTGAGGGAGTCTCCTTTGATGAGAATTTTCTGGAAAGAATCATCAAGTTTATTGGTTCCATGACAGAGGGCCCAAAACTCTGTTTCATTAGTAGTACAAGGTGGCAGTGTCCATGAAAGGACCAGATAATATTATCGCAACAATCTCGGAGAGGCCCCAATAGCTAGTGACCCTCCCCTCCTCCCTAACACTGCCATCAAAGTTAACTTTTACCCAGCTTGGAGGTGGAGGGAATCACCGTTGTTTGTCACAAATTTCTTTTTCTTCACGGCCAGAAACATATGGAAGTTGGAGTCGAAAAATGCTTTCGAGAAGTTCTTGAAGGAATTGTTTGCTTGGGCCTATGCAATAGTAGTCTTGAGAATAGAGGCAACAATGACATCAAACTGTCGAGCCTTTCCTTCAAAGCAGCGAGCATTTCTCTCATTCCAGATGGTCCAAAGGATAGCAGCAATGTTTAGGCACCAAGGGATCAGGCAACATGAAGAGAAAGGGGGGGACCAGCCATGACGAAATAAACCCTCAATATTATTAGGCATCACCCAGTGCCAATTACTTTGGAGTAAGAGCCAGCCCTAACTCTGTTTCACATGAGGGCAATGGAGAAAAAAGTGATCCACAGACTCTCCATCCTGCTCACAAAGGATGCAAACATCCACAATTGAAACCCCCTAATCCGAAGATGATCCATGGTGAGGACTTGATCCCAACTAGGCAAGCTCTCACCTTGAGGGGAGCTTTGCATGACCACACCTTTATAGAGAAGTTATTTGTAGGCGTGAATCTGTCCATCCACAGGATGTTGTAGAGAGACTTAACTGTGAAAACACCAGAAGGTTCCAGTTCCCAAATGGCCTTGTCAACTCTGCATGGGGAAAGGCACAAGTCGTAAAGCCTAGGCATCAATTGCAAGGATTGTCGTTCCACTTCAAAGCTAATCTTTTTAGAAGAGCGGGTCAGATTCCAAGTGATGTTCTCCCCTTGCCATATTGTTACATGATTGATGAGAAGGTTCTTTACGATACAATTAAGAAACAAGTCAAGGTACATGGATTTTAAAAGGCCATCACTTAACCATTTGGCATGCCAAAACTGTGTTTTTGAGCCATTTCCAACAAGAACACGACTGTAGGCCAAGAACAAAAGTTTATTAGAAGAGATTCTTTTCCACACTGCAGAAGCATACCTATTTCTTGAAAGCTTTTTAGGAATCATGTAACATTGGTCCCACCCATATTGGCAATGACGACTAGTAACCATAACTGAACGTGTGAGCATGAGGCCCTCCACCACCATTTAGTGAGTAAAGCCTCATTAACTGGTCTGAGCCTCCTGATACCTAATCTACCTTCTTTTTTTGGCAAGCAAACAATCTGCCATTTAACTAAGTAGAATTTCTTTTTGTCTTGAGATCCACTCCATAAGAAGTTATTCATCAGTCTTTCAAGAATTTTTATAACTGCTTGTGGAGCTCTAAAAAGAGAAAAGAAATAGTTGGGCAGAATTGCCCTAGTGGCATTGATGAAGGTGACTGTTGCCCCCAAGGGATAGGGATCACTATTGAGCAATGGATAACCGGCAATTAGAAAGAGGAATTTAGAGCTAGTTAATTGGCAGGGAATCAACTTTACAACCCAGCCAAGAAGCCAAGTCCAATATCTCCTCTTCCAGACAGTTAATACCCATAAGAGAAGTTTTGTGCACATTCACCTTAGTACCAAACACCACTTCAAAGCATTCAAGGAAAAGGTATACGACTCTGATTTGGGAAAAGTGTCTTTCAACCACCAAAAGAGTATCAGCAACATACTGAAGATGAGAAATAGAAACAGCCATCAGGAGAGACCGGAAGACCAGTGATCAAGTTAGATTGAACAACCCCGGCAAGCATTAGGTTGAAAGATTTAGCAACAAGCGTGTAGAGGAATGGGGAAAGTTGGTCTCCTTGTCGTGGGACTCTAGTGGCTTTGAAGTAACGACATGCTTTCTCATTTACAAGCATTGAAAAATGAGCAGAAGATAGGCACCCCAAAATCCATCTTCTCCACTTACAGGTAAAACCCATTGTTTCATGACTTTATCCAGGAAATCCCACTCCATTGTATCATAGGTTTTTTCAAAGTCAATTTTAAGAAAGACACTTTTATTCCCAAAGGACCGGGTAGAGTGTATGACCTCTTGGGCTACAAGAATACGATCCATGATATATCTACCCTAGACAGAGGCTGTTTAGGGGCCTGAAATAACTTCTCCCAAGACCTTCTTTA